GTGAGATGCTCCTGTGAGCCCACGGCCGTGAGGGAACCCACGGAGATGGGAACGCTCAGAGACGCACCCGCACACACACGCGCTGCAGAGGAGAGGAAAACCAGAGCCGGGGGAACGGGGGAGAAGAACGTTTTGTGGTTAAGCCTTAAAAAAAATAGCCTTTGCCATTGTCCCAGGAGAAGACGAGGAGGTAAATGAAATCCAAGTGAGTCAGCGCCTTGACCAAGGCGGGCTTCCCCGGGTTAGCAATTACAACACAAATCTGTTAGCGATTAACAAGGCAGGACCGAATGCGTCCCGCGAAAACGGTCAGCGGTGGCAGCAGCAGCATCCCCAGCACGCTCCACCGAAGGCAGGGACACGGGCAGCTTCATCGGCTTTTTAATTAACTCATTTTCAGGAGTTCCAGTTTCTGATAGAGTCCCCCTCCGGCGCAATGTCTTGACAAACAAAAATCTCCTTGAAAAATAACAGTAAAGTGAATTTAATCTCTTTCTCCTTATTAAAGTTTTGCAATGCTTTTCAGCACATGAGAAACTGAATTAAAGTGGAAAGAGCGAAGTGACAAGATAGAGAGCCGAATGCAAACAGTGACCAGACAGAGCCCAGAGCGGCGCCGAGGCGGTGCGTGGCAGATACTGTCATCTGAGGTTCTCGCGATTATGGCGAAAGGACCTCCCAAACCGGAGCATCGCCGCACACGGGAGAGGCCAAGCGCCAGACCAGGCGGGATGCAGGAGCGCCGGGTGTCGTTCTCGTCAGACCAGAGACCCCCTGAGGGCCCCTCGGGGTGTCACCCAACCCAGACCCCACCACGCAGAGGGCCCCGAGGCGCTTGCTCGGCTGCTTCTCTTCCAGGCGCCAGCATCTTTCGGCAGGGGCTTGGGTTTTCCTCCACCTCTCTCCAGTCCCCAGCCCAAAGAGGCTCCGATGGCCATCGAGAGATGTCCTCAGAGACGCCATCGCAGGCTGTCACAGCGATGCGACGGCAGGCATCACCGACAGACCCCCTGGCCCAGCTGCACCGCTCAAAGTTTGCCTCCCTCCATCCTCCCGTGCGCTCTCCAAGAGAGGTTCACCCACTCTCCAACAGCAATTACAGCCTTGACCCACACGGCAGCAGCTCCGAGGCGGCCCCGGTGATACCGGAGCACAAACACCTTTGGACATCAGTGGGTTTGCGCTCCCTACCCTTACCCAAACCCTCTCCTTCCCTGATGCCGAAAGCAAATTAGCCACGAGGTACAGTTACAGCGGCGCATCCCGGAGCCGCGAGTGAGGCATCAGGACAAACGCTCCGCAGAGGATCAGCCACACAACTGCGCGCTTGGGTGCCAAAATCTGCCTTCCGGGGCCACCACGTCCAAGGTCAGGGACCCCTCTTGTGCCACAGGTTCCCTGGGGTCCGGGCTTTGGTGCTTATGGGAGGGGGGGGGGGGGGCTGTCTCTGCCCCATCACTGCCCGGTCCCCGTGCAGGCAGGAGCAGGCAGCAGCCGTGCAGGCCAGCGCAGGGGCCAAGGTCTCCTTCCAGCCTCCGGGGCGCGGGAGCGGGGCCAAAGGTGGTTTTGGGGGGGGGAAAAAAAAAGCAGGAAAACCAGGCAGAAGTTGGGCAGATCAGATTGCGGAGTCGCCATGGCAACGGCACGGCGTAGGTGGACCAACACAATAGGGACGGGCAAGGGAAAGGAGGCAGCGGGCAGGCAGCGGGCAGGCAGGTGAGCATCCATCCGCTCCCCACTGCACATTGCCGGGGACAGCATCAGGGCCCAACCCCCGGCAATTTTGGGGTGACCCCCACCCCCCCTCAGATGCTTCCAGGGAAGCGCATCCCTGGGAAAGCCCACACCAGGGGCGAGAGGGGACGGACCCCCCACAGGGTCCCCCGCACCTCCAGGACGTGCCGACGTGTCAGCACCGTAACTGCACCAGGACCGCCGAGGCCGCTGGCAGAAGGAGCCGAATTTGGGTTAGGAACAGCAGGAAACTTTCAGCGGGGCAGGGATGGATGGATGGATGGATGGATGGATGGATGGATGGCGTCCACATCCGTGTGCGCCGGCGAGCCGGGGAGACGTACGCCCCTTCCAGGCTGGTGGCCCCGACGGCAGTGCAGGCACCGTCCCCCCTGAGCCACGGCGAGGAACCGGGGAGCCCGGGAACACCGAGGGGAGCACGGCGGGTGCATCCCGCTTGCCGCTGGGATGGAGTCGCATCCAATTCCTGAGGGGTATCCACTGGGTACCTCCCCGCTGGACTACCCCCGGGGGTGTGTGCGC